GTATCACTTCTTAAGAAAATTTTAATAAAAATATTTTATCTTAATTATGAAAATATAATAGCATGTATTTTTAATTTTGGAACCTAACCCTCCTTTTCGTACTAGTTCTTTGTTTCGTATAACACGGATTCGCATAACACAGCAATTTTTGGAACATAACTCCCGTGTTATACGGGGGTTACCTGTACTTTCTGAACAATCAATGCGGGTACCCTGAAATCGTCTTGCGAGTCAGAGTCGCCATCACTATTTTACAGAATTGGAATTTTGAATGATATTTCTAAAGAATTTTCTATATACAATTGATAATATTAATTTTAAAATGAAATCTATCCAACTCGAGTTGATTTACTTCTGGAACTTTAAATGGATTTTATAAATTCCAACTGTAATCGTCATGAAATTTTGATTTTTTAATAATAATCATTATTCCAAACATTATCCAAATTCAATTTTTGAGAACAATGTTCAAGGAGGGCAGTTATTAAAATTCATATTGTCGTGAGAACTCTCTAGAGTAAATCCTTTTATTATCCACTCGTTTATTATATGTCCAGCGAAGCTTCATTAAAAGAATTGTACTGTACTACATTCTCTTGTTTTTATTGGCAAAATACTTTTTCACAATTTGCCTCGAACAATGCAGAACCTCGATTAATCGAGATCCTATTAGGATGTATTTCGATTTTCACTCATATTGCTCATATCGAGACGTGAACAACATCAATAAAAATCGAATCTCTAGCCAGCTGTACAGAGATTCTCCTCCTGTGATAAGAGAGAATTCGAATCCGATTTGGAACATAATATTTTTAAAATATTATGTTCCAATATTTGTTTCTTGGCTTGCTTTTCCATCTCTCGCTCATTATTCGACTGATCATATTACTACATTCTCTATAAAGATATTGTTATCTGAGGTTGTTCTGCAATGAGGTTGCAATGAATGATATGGAAGGCTGTTAGCCTTCCATATCATTCATTGCAACCTCATTGCTAGCCTTCCATACTATCCATTGTGGTCAGGCCATCAACCTGTCTGCTATCAGTAATTGTTCACTATCATGTGTAGAGTAACGGCACTTTTTTCGTGTATTTTAGTATTTTTTTTGTTTTTTTTAAATTTGTTATATTCTTATATCCGCATGAGTTTATTTCTTATTAAAAAATAAATAATACTTTCTGAATGTTATAAGCATATTTTCTTCCTTATTTTATGTTAAAAATTATTGTTTATATAATATCATAATATTAGATTTATTTTCTGTTAGAAATAAAAAAATTTTTAAATTTATTTTATCGATAACTTAAAAGTTTTTAAATCATTATTTTATCACAAAGTTCATACGATTTTAACTATTATCAATTGACCTTCGATATCTCCTGTATCTAAAAATAAGACAGATAAAGGATAAAGAGTTTCGAATTATGAAATCATCCAAGGATAGAAATAAATCTTGGTATTAAGTACTCTTATGGTAGATCAATGGTTTTCAACCGGAATGTCGCCACGATACTTTAGGGTGCCGTGAAATGGACAGATGAAAGAAGGCAACACAATACTTGGGCAATCTGCCAAGGGGAAGTGCCTTTTTAGAGAACTTTCTATAGGACATTGGACCCTATATAGATGTTAGACAGAAGGAGAACAGTCGGAAAACTCCATGTGGCCAGCCCGTTGGTGAGGCACGAATCCGCGACTCATTACCATTGTTTAGCGGTTTTATCCACTTGGCCATTGATGGGCTTTGATGCCGCGAAATATAGTGCTGAGCAATGTCATAACACTTTTTACGTGTATTATTAAAAAACAAAGCAGGGACGGATCTACTATGTAACTAATAAAGTTTAAGCTTTAAGGTCCTAATCCTTGAAGCAATTTGTTTTTAATGAGTGGAATTTACAACAAAATCTATGTATTTGTTTTGTTATTAAAATAAGGCAATTTTAGTGATAGAATAATAAGCCAATAGGTTAAAGTATTCAATATTTACCTTAGAATAATCTCTAATACACATTTCATAGGGTCTTAAAATGTCTCTGTACTGGTCAAATTTTTATATTTTCTCGGAGACCAAACCCCCAGCACCAAGGGCTCACTGGGGCTGGCCGAATTTATTTATGACCTACATTTTGGCAGTTTAATCTGCAAATTCTTCGTTTATGTACTGCTTAATAATACTTTGACTTAGTTCTTAGGCTAGATCCCCAAAACAGAGATAAAGAGACCGCCATAACAGTTTAAGTTTCAGGATACCAAAAATATAGGTCTGCCACTGACTAAAAGTGTAATAACTTTACAGTGATAAAAAAGTATGAGATGCCGCAAAAATAACCGGTTTTGGATTCTACGATTAGAAAAAGATTGGAAAATATTGTGGTAGGTGGAACAAATATCGTATAATATTACTTATTACATATATAAATTGATGAATTAAAATAAATTGTTGTAAATGTATTTTTACTAACTAATTTATATCTATTTGAAACTACATAAGAATGTAAACACTTAAAGAATCAAGATAAACATTTTTTTTAAATATTAGGCTACAAATTAAAGACTAAACTTGAAAAAAGTGAGTTAACATGTTCTTGCCCAAGGTCTTCAATTAAAATAATATATTAATATAAGCAAACATTTTTTTAATTCTAGAAATATGTACAAATTTTATAAATTAATTAACTTACAAACATTTTGTAATTACTTAATAAAATGTTGTATAAATTTTATACAAATTTTTTATAACATAATACAAATTTAATTGCCCCTAAGAAAATGCGAGAACAAAACAAATTTGATCATACAATTAAAGCATGAAACGAAACAATTTAACTATTATTATAATTGAATGTAAATGCAAATAGTTTCTCCACCGATTTTAATATGGAATATGATGTTGCATTTTCTATACGAATTGAGAAATCCTACACGAGAGATAAAAGTACACAAACGCAGTTCGTTTCCCAACATATAATCGGTTCTATTTCGATTTGTCTATAAAGTTGAAAACTTTTCCGCATAAATAAACAATAAAAATGCAGGAAAATAACGTGAACGCTTTTTTAACTATCAGAAAAATACACGTTGTAAAATAATATATAAAAATCTATTTTAAATGTTTTCAAATTTGAATTTTAAAAATTATCTTTCATACTGTTTTCAATCGATTACTTTTTTTGTCTTTTTTACTTTTCTTTACTTCTTTTTAATTTCAAACATTTATGAATTAATTTCATACAAACATGCTAATGTCAACAAGTTTGAATTCATCTGCAAGGAATTCAGACGAACAGTTTTATTCTTCATATTTATTTTAAATCATTTATCATAACGTTGAATATATCATAACTAAGGCCCTGTACACACTAGGCGTTTTTCAACGCGCGTTTTAAAGAACCAAGAGTTCTATGTAGCCGTACACACGCAAACGCCAAGCGCGCGTTAAACGCGCGTTTATAGATTTTTGTTAAAACGCGCGTTTTGCGGGCAGTTTACGGGCGCTTTGAGATATATGTGCTGCCTTATAGCGACGATGGAGGAGCACACACAATCAATTACTTTCTCGTCCATTTCCAAACTGAACCAGTGCTAAACGCCGAACTAACGCTCGTCGAACGCCGAGCTAACGCGCGTTTAACGCGCGTTGAAAAACGCCTAGTGTGTACAGGGCCTAAGGCTGTGTACACACTAGGCGTTTTTAAACGAGCGTTTAGCGGAGCGTGCGCACTGGCTCGGTTAGGAAATGGATGTGGAAGTGATTGCTTGTGTGTGGCTCCTCTATCGTCGCTATAAAAGATGACGGCAGAAGCAAAGAGAATTTTGGGTGGACCTAATATTACGAGATAGACTGACGCATAAAATGTTTGCGACGTTGTATCCAAAACTAAGACAAAATAAATTCAAGTTTTTTAATTATTTTAGAATGTTTATAAAATCATTTAACGACTTACTCCATATTATAAAAGTAGATATTACCCAAAAGCGCGCGATCGAATATACAGCAAAATGGTGGCGTAAATCTAGAAGCGCCCGTAAAGCGCCGGGAAAACGCGCGATCACATGTATGGTAACATGGCAGCACATATATCTCAAAGCGCTCGGCTAACGCTCGCAAAACGCGCGTTTTAACAAAAATCTATAAACGCGCGTTTAACGCGCGCTTGGCCAAAAGCGCGCGTTTGAATGTGTACGGCTATGTAGAACTCTTGGTTCTTTAAAACGCGCGTTTAAAAGCGCGCGTTTAACGCGCGTTGAAAAACGCCTAGTGTGTACAGGCTCTAACAGATAAGCCCAGCATTGCCCGGGCAAAAAATAACACCAAACATTAATATTACTGTATTAGATTATTTCGTACTTAATCTTTCTATTATATTATATTATAGTATAAAGAATTTTTTAAAAAGTGTTAGATTGGTCACTTAATGTGATGAATTCTTACGTAAGATGTCCTTTGTAGTCTCTTCCGCCCTGCGGGGCCCGGAATAGAATCCAGACAGATCGAAAATTCCCCGGGAATTTTTCGGGGGTGGTCCGTCCGGATATGTTCGTGCCCCGTCTCTCACCACCCGGCCGCCTCATTGTGGGCCTGGCCGAACCCATAATGGGCTTCTATAAAAGGTCCTCTTAGTGCCTTCAGGGTGGAAAGAGTTTAAAAAAATTTTTTAAAGTCTTCATATAAAACTTGTTTAAATAAAAATAATCCTGTCAAAATGCGAGAATAATTGTTTTTATATTTATATTTTTTTTCAACAGATTTTATAAACTACCTGGGAAGTATGTTCTCGTAAATATCGTGTTTATAAAAGAAATTATTGAGCTGCAGTTTGATAAACTGTAGATCTATAAATTTCCACTGTCCTCCCTCCCTCTGACCATAACTATATATGAACCGGAAGTCACGTTACTTCGACCAAAAGTTTCCCCCGAACGGAGTTAGATAGATAACCAACACGACTCTATTGCAAACAGAAAAAGTATGATGTGCAAAGGCAAGACACCACTAAAAGNCTTCAGCAACTTCAAACAAATTCTCTGCTAAAGTTTGGGCGCATTCAATAATTAAATTGGTCATCTAAAAAGATAAATGTTATTAAAATCTTATTTTAGATAATATTTTTTAATAATACTTACCATTTTTATTTTACTAAAAGTAAAAGTAGGAGTTATCAACACTCTCATTTGTCTCCATTTTTTACCAGTTTGTACATAAAGCATCCTATCTATAATAGGATCGACAAATAGAGGGGTCTAAATTAAAATAACTGTAATGACTATAATGATATATATAAGTGTATATTTTGTTTTCTAAATTAATAACTTACTCTTAAATCCACAAAGTATTGAAAATCTTTAACTAAAATATTCCTTATCCACTTTGGTTCTGCTATCATAAGAACTGGAGTAAAACCTTCATAAATACTGAAATAAGATCAAGTGTTTAAATAGTTTTATAGCTTTAGTACGTTATTAAGTATAAAAATATTTTACCCAAAAATTTTGCCGTATTTTTCGTACCATTTTTGATCTAATTTTCCCATTGGCTGCAACAAATTATTCGAATAAAACGTCATGTAAAGTTTATTAAATTTTAATATAAGACTTACAGTTCTGAAATCTAAGCCTTTTGAACCTGTAAAAATTATTGGAGGTACTTCGGGGATTCCAAGATTATACCAATAATCGAAGTGTTTTGTGAGAAAACTAAAAGAAATTAATTTATAAATATTCATATTATTATATTTTAATAATTAATGTAATACGAAGTTAATTAATTAATGTAATACGAATGTAATTAGTGAAAGATACGAAGTTAAAATATCTAAATTCTTATCTTTTAATTGTAGTTTGCTGTAATTTTTAAGTAGGCTACTGTTTCAAGGTTTAAAAATAAAAGGCATTGAAATTCCTTTCTCGGAAATCAGTAAATATAGGAAAATTTAGAAAAATATCATTTGTTTTCATAAAACTTATTATTTTATTGGTGTTTTTTCGTGTTTAAATCTTGTTATCTTCCAATGAAAACTGCTCACCAATGGCTGAGTGGATAAAACTTCTGGTAGTTGGTTGCTGATTCGCGCCGATTAATGAGCTGCCACGTGAAATTTCCAGGGTTTTCTTTACAAATATAACACTTGGCGTTAGAAGAAAACCGTTATTAGAGAGGTTGAGGCCGAAGTTTTCATCTGTAAAACGTGAACGTCGAACGTCGAGCGCTGCTTACAAGATAGCGGTGCTCGACGTTCGACGTTCACGTTTTAGAGATGAAAACTTCGACCGCAACCTCTCTAATTTTAAAAACCATCGTAGGCCCATAGTTTAAGTTTTGGAAAAAATCACAATGTTGTAATAAATAAACAAACTAATTATTTCTTGAAATATGCATATTTATCTGTGTGACTCTGTGAATGTAACTGATCTGAATTATGCAGTGTTAGACTTAGTGTGTTACTACATATAAAACCAAAAACTTATTTATATATTTTAATAAAAAATTAAAGTATATAAAATGATTTCCTTATTTTCATTTTATAAATTATTATATATTTAATTTCAGGTGGCTATGGTCGAGGCTCAAATAAGCGATGACTTACCAAATGGATTACTCATTATTTTTAGTATCTGTACTACTCTTTTGGTTTCTGTACATTTGTTAGCCCTAATGATATCTACATGTATATTGCCAAACATCGAAGCAGTAGCAAGCATAAATGGTTTCGCAACTGTTTCGGAATCTCCACACGAGACTATGCATTATTATATAGAAGCCTCTTGGATTTTTTCAACAGTTTTCGGCATTTTTTTATTTCTAATGGAAATTGCAATTTTATGCTGGATAAAGTTCGTAAGTTTTAGCACGTATGCCGCTTTAGCTGGAATTGCATTATTGATTCCATTTATTTTACTGTTCGTTGCATTTGCGATACATTTTCATCGAAAGCTCGTTTCCCATAAATATGAACAATCAGCAGACGAATTGAAAGAATTAGAAACAATGGTTACGCAACTACAGTCGAGCACAACGGATATATCGCAAAGTGGTCCGTATATTTTGAATGTTTGATTGATGATCATGATGAGAAATAAAAAGCTAAATAATCAATAAAATAAAAATATCAGATTATTAGAAAATATTTCATATATGAACAGTTATAGAAATTTGTTACATTTTTATTTTTCAAATAAAAAAAATAAAAATAAAAAAGATATTATGATTGTATTATTATAAATTAGATGATAAATTAAATGAGCAATAAAAATTTATTTTATTATATGGTTTTAATTTTCTTATTTTTAAAAATTATTTTAAAGATCTTTTTATAAACTTAAATAATTTTAGTCTAAATAAAACGATTTAAACACTTAATTACATAACAGTACATAACATATACATGTAAACATAAAGTATATAACCTACAGTATAGCCTATACAGCAATATACTGGATGATTATAAGAGTACTTCGTAATTAGAGTACGTCTATTCAACGCTGTTCATAGGTATATAACAGTCCAAATACAACCAAATTCGATGTAGTAATATTTTCCTAAAAAAAGAAATAGTAGGGCCAACTAAAATTCGTCTAAGTGCAAAAATAAAATTAAAAAAAAAATTCATTTGTGAGCACTTAAAAAGTGAGGTTTATCAAGGACATGAGCAAATTTGGTAGCTTTGAAAGACGATATCACACTACATGTGAGAAGCATCATAAAGAACCAATTACCAATGTGTTTAACGGATTGTTCAATCGCCTTCACGTTTACACCTTCAAAATGGAGACTACATTGAGCAGTATCCCGTGCATCGCTAAGTTCTGTATAGCATGAGTGTCTTGTACAGCACATAAAATGTTTGTTGTTTGCGCTAAAAGTGCCATAATGACGAGTTTTAATACTAAATTTTTAAAGAAAATGCTTTCACATGTACCGAAATGTCACCAAATTAGGTTGCATTTGGACTATAAATATTTCTCTTGACAATGTTGAAAACGAATATTTAAATTACGATCACCCGATATATAGTCTACACCAGTGATTCTCAAACTTTTTCGATCCACCGCCCCCTTTGTTCCATAAAGTTATACCCAACGCCCCCTAACCCATTTTCTCTTGTGTGAGAAAAGGATTGGAAATATTCTTAGGAAAACTTTTCTATGAATCTCACACTTTGTGCCCTTACTGTACATTGTTCTCATCATCTGGAAACCATTAAACGCAATGTTTCCTCTTATCAGCCCCAATTTTGCCTTTGGTCACCGTTCAATACCCTGCCTCTATCATAGATCTATTCATCGCGCCAGAAGGGGGCGTTATTGCTTACTTTGAGAAACGCTGAGCTAAAATAAAAGTCAATGTGTTAGAAATATTCAAGTTGTGACCTTCAATAAAAAATAAAAAATATATAAAATGTCAACATTTTATATATATTCCGTCAAATTTTTATATATAGAATTTCTGCCGTCGCCCCTCTATATTTCCTTAACGCCCCCCAATTCTCTTTGAGCCTTCTACTGCCCCCCTGAAAGCCTCCAGCGCCCACAAGGGGGCATTATCGCCCACTTTGAGAAACGCTGGTCTACACAATAAATATAGGACCAATATCCACGCAAAATCGGCCTCACTCACTGGAAACGATACAAATGAATATAGATAAAAGACACTCGTTGCAAACTTTATAACTTTATTTTAACATTACAGTATTTAATCTTACAGAAGATGCCAAAAGTGGTGTCTTTGTGCTTCTATGTATCTTTGTATCCGCGTAATCATCGTCAAACTGAAACTTACGTAAGATATTGATGTCGATAGCTTCAATGTTTCTGAGAATGTTTTTCCTTCATTCTGCGTATAGTTCTGGAATTAGACTCATACTCTATTTCTTTTAAATATTTCCTATAAAAGTTTACCTTATTAATGTTTCATAAGAACTCCTTATAAAATGTACATCACTAATGTTCATTATCTCAGTCGGGCCGATTTTCATTTCAATAGGAACATTCTATATAAGTTAGATTTGAAGAAGACTTCTACAAGAACTACAAGCAGTTTAACAATAAAACAAACGACGGTCGGGACAAGCCAGGTATTTTCGACAACGTTAGATCTTCAATGCGCCGGAGATGTGAGGCCTGCATCACTGTCCGTGGTCGTAATTTCGAGCATCTTCTTTGATTTTTGCTGTACTAAGAATAATAAACATGTTTCCTCACCTGTTCGTGTCCTTCCTTTCTTGTGTTTTGTGTCGTCACTACCGCGCCAGGAAAGCGTTTCCGACCATGCATTGCTATGTGATTTCCCATCGTCTAGGTGTACTCTATCTCTCCTGATAGTTTGTAACCGCTGTACTGATATACCCTGTATAGAGGATGTAGAGCAGGGGTGGCCAAACCGTGGCGCATGCGCCAAACTTGGCGCATTGGACGATTACAAGTGGCGCTTTAGTCAGTTCTGAGCAACATTGCCAGATTTGGCTTCTTTGCAATTAAGAATATTACATAGAAAATTAATTTTTTATAGTCTGTCTTGGCAAGTTCATTTGTTGCACAATTCGTTGCAATCAACTTTACAGATAAAATGAGTGTTCTCCACATAGTAAATTACAGTGTATGCATGTATGTTTATTTTCGATCAGTGCATAGGCGTCTAAATGACAGTGCTACCGTCCGGACAGTCCACGAGTCGGTTGGACTGCTACACCTGTTGACCTTTTTTTTTTTTTTGCTTCTACGATTCACGATACATTCGCAATCGTGTATGCCACTAATGTCAAACGGGACTATTTTGTACGGGTAACTACACCACCACCGCATTTTTTATTAATTTTTTTTCACACAACTGAATTTTGATCTTTTAAATTGAAATACCTGATTAAAGGGTGGCCGAAATTTTTCTCCGCCCCGGGCGGCTAACACCCACGGTACGCCACTGCGCATCTGAACTCGTCTATCAAAAAATTGGCGCATGGTATGCAAAAGGTTGGCCACCCCTGATGTAGAGGAAGACCACAAATGGAATGGATCGAAACAAGACTATATGAGTCTGAGTATTATATAAATAAATACTATATTATCAAACATACATATATTATTAGTACGGGGTGGCCAAAAATCCAGCTTTTGAACACTTTTCTTCCCATCCGTCAGTACCTCCAGTCGAAAGATAATCTGTCCCCCTTTTTGGAATCTTCCTTAAAATAATTAAGTGGTATACAATATCTCAAGAAATGAAATTTTTTAAAATGAAATTGATAAAAAATGAAAAAATAACAATTGAGTTTGAGTTTTTCAGCATCATATTATATGCATATAGACCATAATATATGTAATAACATAGCTCTATTCAAAGATAAGTTTAAGTTAACTGTGCAAAAGATTACCTCTAGAGTCTAGACGTTCATGTAAATTTTCGGTGAGTGATAATTAAATTTTCCTGAAAATTAAAAAGGAAATTCTTTTATATTAAGGAAGGAAAGAAATTAAATATCTTATTTAGAGATGAGACAGTTAATAATGTCTCGGTCTCGGTTCAAACTGCAAAAATCACTGCGAAATATTGATAATAGGCAAAAATCACTATGCAAAATTCATTAAAACGAAATAAAAATAGATATGTTAAACATATGTAATGTACTGTATATACATAAATATTCATATAAAAACATTTATATTTATTTATTCATTAGAAATGAATAAATAAAAATTTGATTAATTATTTATAATGAATCAAAAATAATAACTATTATTATTTATTTAATCTGTTTATCACGTGTAAACTACAAATATCCAAATGTGATATGAAAAATTTTTGGATGGATTTCAGGTGAAATTACAATGGCCATTATCGTTGCAATTTCAGTATCTACAGATTTGTACTCTTCATTTAATAAAAATTTTAAAATTATAATTAATCCTACCATTAAGATTAAAATTACCACATAAATAAATTTTGTAAAACATTGAAAGAAGATAAACATTTTTTTATATATATTTGATTAATTTTATACAAAATTAATGAGTAGCTTTAGTTCATTAGAATTTCTGATTGTCATTGATTTTGCAATTTTAAACATTTATATTAACAAATATGATATTTATTCTTAACTTACGATAAGATATTTTAAAAAATAATGTGATAACAAGTTTAACAAAGCTATAATAGAGCATAATATTTATACTAATCTGGTACTGTCTTCTTTTATACTACACTGATAATAATTGATATACTCAGAATATATAAATAGCACATCGACTATAGTTAAAGTTAAATATAACATGTATAAGTTATTATATGATGCAACATTAATATTTAAATATAAATAAATAAAATTATATATAATATAAACGCATATAACATATACACAGAAGCACACGCATACATTTTATACTGTACAGTATATGTATACATTTGAAGTAAAGCTGTCCATAAATTATGTAACGCAGGTATAGGTGGGTGAGTATGTAGGTAATCGTAACGATGTATTACAATGGGTGGGGGTGTTACAATGCTAGGGTCTCAATCTTTGCGTAACAAAATGATTCATTTTTGTTTCTGAAGTATTGCATAGATAACCGTAATGTTTACATTACTGCTTTGTACGTTATACATGTAATTGATAAAATAATGTAACGTTCTGCACTCTATACTGTGTATTATTCGTTAATACAATCAAGGGGAAGCTATACTTTGATCAAGGATATGAGTAGGGGGAGTCGTTATAAAGGAGTATAAAGGGTAGGTCACCCATCCAAAAGTCAAATATAATGATTTCAATCGGAAAATATATCTCTTAGTCGGAAAAAGACCAAATGATACAGCCACGAGCCGTTACAGGTCGGTCAGACATACGTGAATGTATAACTTTATAAATATATTTAATTTAGTGACGCTACTGGATATGTGTTACGTAATTTTGAGGTTGTATATGTGCGACAGCGTTACGGAACGTTACAGGTGGTGAGATGGTAGTTGAAAAGTATACATAATTTATGGACAATCCCACATATGAAAAAATATATAAAATAACAAAACATTAATCATTGTGTATGCATATAAAGAATATATTTATAATAAATTTTAATTTTCATATTATAATTTCTCAAAAATTTCCATTTAATCTTACGTTATAAAAACTAAAAGTTGGTCTAGGTTACCGGTAGTGATGACCTCGTTCTCGATATACTGACATTAAAGGAACGCGCTTACTTGACGTTCTCTATGACGTCATTGTACACATGGCTAGCACGTGAAACAGCTGATTGATACGCTTAATTCCTTTTATTAGCAATTTACATCTAGACTTCGACATCGGTTTAAAGGTTTGTGATTAATGTTTTAATTTTTTAAAATTATTTCCCCTATTTGAAACAAATCGGAATAATCAATACACATATGAATTATCAATATATTGATGAAAAAAAGATGTCAATTTTTCTTCCTCCTGTTTGCCTGGAGGCAAACTAATAGTTGTTATATAAAATAATGTTAGGTGTTGATATATGTATATTCTTTCTAGACAAGTTGAAATTAAACCATCCTTGTTAAATTTATATATTATATAAATTTAGTCGTCAATATTTTTAGTTCTAACGCTGTAGAAAATATTTAATAACATTAAAAATACGTATAATAGATTAAATGTGTTAAAGAACCTAAGGTTATAAACTAAAATAAATAGAAAATTATAACAAATAGTTTATATTTTGTTGATATAATATTTGCTTATTTAAAACGTAAAAAAAAAAAAAAATTAATTTACTTAAAATAGAAATATGACGAAAGATTCTTGTTTATTAAAAATATTAAAAAGATAAAATGTGTGCAATTTCAAAATTTAATTGATTATTTTTCAATTATTTACTATCTCCTTAGGGCAAGTTGA